TCTCAGAATTCTGACTTTTTTCTCAGAATTCTGACAGCTAACAAACATGTTAGCATCAAGCCGTAGCCATGTCTGTTTTAGAGACTGACAGCTAACAAACATGTTAGCATCAAGCCGTAGCCATGTCTGTTTTAGAGACTAGCTCTCTTGTTCTAATGACCTTCTGTCCCTCCATTAATGAGGGGACCCATCGGCCACGTAAAAAATTTCCGAGAAAAAAGTCAGAATTCTGACTTTTTCCCCATATTGAGCTGAAAGAAAATTTAAAAATCAGTTAACTTTTATTTATTTTTTTCAGTGGCCCTAATCCTCTTCCCTAAAATGTTAGCTATACTTTACTGGAGTCATTATATTTTAGAAAACTTTTAACTTCTACTCATTTAATTTTTTTGCAATGAGCTCTACTTTCTTCTCCTTACATTTAAAAAAAAGACTGGTTAGTTTTGTTTCATTTAAGCTTATTTTCATTACGGCCTGTTGGTGTTTAAAGAAAAAAACTAAACAAACATTAAAATAATTAGCTTCATCCAGACAAATACTTTTTGTGTGTTTGGACTCGGTGCTGCCCCAACTTGTTGCTACCTAAAAAAAAGATGATGCAAATTTAAATCTGACTTTGTTACCATTAGTTATAAAACAAAGAACATAAAATCTAAAGAAATTATCATCCAGAATTGTAGAGCAGTAGTTATCCTGCATTACTTTTACTTTTATACTTTAAGTAGTTTTAAAAAGGGTACTTTTATACTTTTACTGAAGTAAAAAGCTGAAGTTTATCCTCTTCTATAAAAGTGTTTTCAAGTGTTTTCAGTAGGATTTATACTTCTACTGGAGTAATAAACATGAATACTTTGACACATCTGATTGCATTTTATTAGAAAGGAAAGTGGAAGGAAAAAATGTGAAATAAAAATTTGTTTTTGAGGACATTTATTCATATAACTAGGTTCTTGCTCTACATAAAATGACTGGTATTGGATTTAGCTACAGCTGTGCTACAACATGACCTGACCTGAACCTTTAGGATACTTAAGAACATCAGCATGGTATGGGTGAACAAGTGAACAAGCATCAGGGGTGATCACAGCTTTCAAAAGATTGGGAAGTAAAACCAATTTTTGGGTTTCTGAAAAAAAAATATGGCAAACTAAAGAAAAAAAAACTGTGCAACACTTTTTCCTTCCACTCAACTTTACATTAAACTGTTTGAATCCAGTGTTGTTTGGACAGACACCTTTTTTCAGTGGCTTATTGCAGGACTTTCCTGTTGTGGAGTGAGTTCCTGCTTAACTCAGGCCACATCATCCTTTTCTTCAGAACCATTGAACTCTTCCATGATATTCTGATTTAGCTGGGATTCGAACCAGCAACTTCTCAGCTTTCAACCTGCAGCGTCTTATCACTTGTCCAGACTGAGGACAAACGGGACCAGAGTTCCTCGGGCCTCCGCAGGAGAAGGCAGCACCTCCTGCAGGAAGCCCTCCCGCTCCTCCCGCACTTCAAACTGCAGCGCGTGGCTGCGGCTCACGCAGTAGATGCGGTCCTCCAGCACCGCGCAGCGAAACGGCTGCGGGTTCTCCAGCGGGAAGCGCGCGCCGCCGAGCCACACCTTGACCAGCGTGTTGTACCTGTACACGCTCACGGCCGCGCGCTCCCGCTCCACGTCGAAGCGGTAGATGAGGCTGCGGCGCGCCACCATGTCCGTGGAGCGCCGCCGGCTCTCGTTGAACGGACACTCCTCCCACTCGTCGCGGCGGCTGTCGTAACGCAGCAGGCGGTAGAAGAGCGAGCCGCCGGACACAAACAGCGCGCCGCCGCACGCAACGGCCTCGTGCGCGACCGCAAAGGAACCTTTGGGCAGCGGAGCCACGTGAGCCCACCTGTCCGCGCGCGGGTCGTACCGCTCCACGGTGAACAGACACTCCCCCCCGATGGCGTACAGGTGTCCGTCCATGGAGACCAGCCGCAGCTGGCAGCGGGGCTGCGTCAGCGGGCGGACCGGGCTCCACTGGCCGGTCCGCGGGTTGAAGCAGAACACCCGGTCCGACGCCTTGGAGCGGCCGTCCGTCCGCGTCCTCACCCCGCCCGCCACGAACAGGTAGTTGTAGAGGGTGCACATCCCGGAGCCTTTAGCCGGGACCTCCTCTGGCAGGGCGGTCAGAACCTCCCACCGCTGGGTGTCCGGGTCCAGGCAGAACACCCGCCGCTGGGTGGGGTCCTCCAGCTGCGGGCTGTGCGGGCGGCCGCCCCCGCGCTCCAGCACCTCGCAGGTCTCAGCCACCGCCAGCACCTTCCTCCCCTCCATCCTGCGGGCCAGGATGAGCTCCCTCTCCGCCGCGGTGAGCCGGCCGAACACGGCGGGGTTCCGCAGAACCTGCAGGTAATGGTCGCTCATGAAGCCCAGCAGCCGCTCCCTGTCGCGCTCCGAGCCGCAGCGCTTCGCCTCCTCCAGCAGCTCGTAGCAGTTTTCTGCGGTGATCTGTGGCGGTGCGTCCGCGGCGGCTGAGAGGCGATCTGGGCGGTGATGCGCGGCGCAGATGTCTGGATCCTCTTCCATTACTGGCTCGGTTCGGCTCAGGGTCCAATTATATAAAATCAGTCATTAGCAGAGTTGTCGCCCTGCCTGCTTCCCTTTCATTGATTCACTCTGTTGCTTCAAGTTTTCTCTCTCCAGCCCAGATCATCTCCTCCTGTTCCTCCATCCTCCAGCGGGGCGCGGTGGCCGCTGCGGCCGGGCTTTCCCTCCTGCTGTCTGGCTGCGGTTCACTGACCGCTGGACGCTTCCTTCCTCCTTCTCTCCCTCCTCCTCAGTCGAGGCTCCAGACTGGACCCAGTGTCTACGCCCTGCAGGCGGAGCAGAAACCCAGCTGTTCGGTGGAACAAAGGCTCTGCAGAACCTCCCAGAAAACTGATTTTAGTTTTCACACAAAGCAGAAGAAAGTTCACTCTGATGACGCGTATAGCCTTTCATTTTCTGGGTATATAAAACATAGAAAGACAAATTCTAAATGGAATTAAATTAAAATAAGCTGTTAATGTTTTTCTTTGTATCTTAATTGGCTTGTTTTGGGAAAACTATCTTCAGGTTTACCTCCATAATAACTAAGAATGGGTGCTGTCCTTGGTGCTGATCAAGACTCTCTGAGCTGATGGTGAACAAACAGTAGAATCTTAACTAACCCTATCTACCTTAAGCCCAACTTCTAAGCAAACACTAATCCAGACCCCAAACATTTATCAATTAACCATTTAAATTAACTAATTGCCTATTTTTTTTCTTACAACAGATTGTCTGCGTCTAATTCAAAACACCTAAAAAAACAGAACATCATTCCGATAAATAACCCCTAATTTGATGCCAGGCCCCTTTAAAACAAGTTGAGTCAGACTGAGAAAGATATTGTGGTAGATTCTCCTCTCAGCAGATTCATTATTTCCTGCAGAACTCATCGCATTTGTGCTTCTCCTTAAACAATCCGCTCAGTCTAATCAAAGCTAATGCGTTTTTTTGTTCTGTAAATCAATAAAGTGACGTTCCTGGTGCAAAATGTCAGTGAATTTAAGAGCAAACAGCTCCACCTGCTGGATGAATGTCAGAATCACAGTTGTGCTGCTTTACCAAACGCATTTAACACCAGATGTGTTTGTAGTCTATGTATGTCTTACATTAGTTACACAAGTATTGTTTTTTTGCATTAGTTTAGTTACACTGATGATTGTTGTCATCATATAGTGTGCTGGTGGAGATTCTCAGTCATCCAGGTCACTGGACTCAGATTTCAGCTTTCAAAAACCTATAATTTAGCAATAGAGTTGATCCCTTCCAACTATCATTGCCACCCCCATCCCCATACAGAGGACCAGAAAATCTAGCCTCTTTATCCAGGCCAACAATTCCCTCTAACAACCCCCTTTATGAGACTTAGACAGAGATGGGGCATTGCAGGCTAACAAAGAATCCAAATGACCCATAACTCCAAAGGGGTGGACCCGTTCCACCATTTCAATTTGCATGTTTTCTAAACTAAAACAAGGCTTTGTTTTCGTCCAATCTATAAAGCCTGGAACTCAACACTATTTCTGACATTTTGAATTTAAAGATCTTTATTTTTATTTATTATTATTATTATTTTTTTTTTTTTACATTTTTGGAATATTGTAATATA